CAGGGTATCCCTTTTTGCAGGAATTGCTCTTAAATTGACACACCGTAGCCTGGGACCTAGGATCTGATGATACCAATGGAGCCATATGATCTTTACCAACTGCCAGGAAATTTTCAAAAGCAAATGCACTCAAAGCCATCTGTTCCACCCTGGCCAGAGTTGTGATGATTTAGAGGCAAGGAAGTAGGACAGAATAATCAAGAATTGCAGTAATTATCTTGAAAAGGACTCTTTAAACGTACGATCCCCTTTCACCTTACGTGTAATGCTAACAGATTGTGACTGAAAGGGTTACTCCTCATGCCACACACCCTTCTCCATGTGTCTGGTTTCAACCTCATGCTAGAGATGGTTTGCAGCATGTCTGGTGATGGCAAAGGCCCATGATGAAGGCTTTGGCTCATGGATAGACTGGAAGACCAGTGTGAGTTTTCTTTGAGATGGGTTTGCTGACCCTAGCACATGATGGCTGGACCTGGCACAAGTGGCAGCAGCACATGGGAGTGGTGGGAAGAGGTCAGGCTACTCCTTTTGTCAGCAGCTGGCCATTAATATAGATGAGATGTAAGGTGATGCTGCCCCTAGCTACAAATAGAAGACAGAAAATTATTGACAGTGCATCTCTTAGACTAGAAATGTCTGAAATATGGAGATTATAGTGTTCGGACTGGGTAGGTACAGCAGGCTAAGCTTAGGAGAAGGGAACAGAGACACAGAGGCCGTTCCTCTAGAAGTTGCCCATGAATTCTGTGGCAGAGAATGAACTGGATCCTCCCAAGGGATGAATCTGTTCTGTGAGGCAGCCTGGAATGGACTTGGTGTTTCTGGAGCTGATTGGGTTTTTGCAGATATTCTAGTTCAGGGTTTGTATTTTATTTTTTTCCTTCCTGGGAATATATTTTGGAGTTGTTTAAGAGTCATGGGGGTTATTCTGAACTCCGGGGGCATTGCAGTATTTTAGCACTGCTTTTGGAGCTGTGCAGGAGGTGACTGCTGTAGCAGTATTTCAGCCCATAGGGAAGGCCATTTGCTTGCTTGAGCTGTCGTGCCTTCTCCGTACTGTTTCAGAATACTGAAAGCTGAACTTTGTTTCTTAAAGCATGCTTGAATTTCATGAGATCTTCTTCTGCCCTGCTGTGGTTTTTTGTCCACTCTCAACAGGAAAATGCTCCATTGCAATATATATTGGAGCTTTTAGTTACAGAGTTCTTGAGGCTAGAAGGTGCCAGTCTGGTTTTGTGATTCCTCCAGTGCAGACACTGCAACCTCTCAGGGCAATGTGTTCCCACATGTCATAATTCATGACAGTGAAAAAAGCGCTTCCTTGTGTTTAAATGTATTTCAATGTGTGCCCATTGGCTCTTGTCATTGGATGCCATTGAGGAGAGGCTGGCTCAAGTCTTCTGCAATACCCTTCAATTGGCTATTTATGCATGTGGGTCAGGTCCTCCTGAGTCATCTCCTCTCCAGGCTGAGCAGCCCATGCTCTCTCAGCCTCTCCTCCCATTTGAGATGATCCAGTCCCTCCATCACCTTTGTGTCCCTGTGCTGGAGTCACTTCATTCTGTCCTTTCCTTGCTGGAAATAGGAGGGCCCAGCCCTGGACACAGCACAGCTCTGCAGGGACAACAGAGACATGGATGGACTGGAGTGACTCCAGCGAAGGCTGCAGGGATGCCTGAGGATATGGAGCACCTGAGTTGTGAGAAAGGGCTGGGAGAACATGCCTTCATTTTAAGGGTGATCAGAAGCTACATCAGGTTGTCCAGAGAGGCTGGGGAGACTCCATCCTTGGGGTGTATCAGACCTGGATGAGACTGAGCAGCCTGGGATAGGTGCAGCCTGTACTGAGAGGTGAAGGACTTGACCTTTCTCTGTTCAACTCTATGAGGTTCCTGCTGGCCCCATTCTGCACCCTCTTGATCTGCTGGATCCGCCACTCCTCCCAGTGTTGTGTTGGCTGCAGACACAGTCTCTAACGCACTGACCTCCAGCTGGACTTTGCCAGTTGTCACAATCCTTGGAGCTGGGCTCCTCACCAGTTTTCCATGCCAGTCCTCTCATCTGGGAAGGCTTTCAGGCTGTTTAGGAGTGATTTCCCTTTTGTAAATCCATGCTGGCTGCTCCCATCACCTCCTTGTCCTCCTCTGTGTTTGCTCCATCACCTCCCCGTGGCCAGTAGTTCTCTGGATCCTTATTCTTAGAGATGGGAATGATGCCTTTTCCATCTGAAGACTTGTAAAGGGTGACACAAACTTCAAGTGGGACTGAAACAACAGAGTCCAGCATTTATAAATTTATATATAAAACATCTAAAAATCTATGCAGATGTACATAAATCCATGCAAGGCAGATATGAATCCAAAGGATTTCCCAGGACTTTCCTGCCTGGGCTGGGGTAAAGCAGGAGAAGAGTGAGGAGAGGCTTCCCCTGCACCAGCCAGGACCCCCCAGTGGGTTCCCCCTGCAAAGCCAGGACTAGCACTGCTGATTCATAAATGCATGAACTATTTCCCAACCGTGACCCCCTTGAAACACCTCTGTTAACATGAAAAAATAACTGGGGAGATGGGAAGTGGTCATTTAGCCTTAATAATAGTACTGGGTTGGAGAGAAACTGGCCATGAATGAGGTTGTATCTTGGCAAGAGGAGGGTTTTTTTTTTGTCAGCCTTCTGTAAAAGCCTTCCAAGAACAGCGCATTTCAATAGTTGGGCAGAAAGAACAGCTTTGAGATGGCATTTGCAGAATTTATTGTTAACTAAGTAACATGTTTTATCCCTCAGACTAGATTATCATCAGGGCTTTCTAGGACATTAAATCTTGGCCCTATGAGGGCCGTCATTTCTGGAATCCATCATAAGTCACGGGGATACATTTTCTACTTCTTATCTTTACCAGCCCTGGCTCTGCTCTCCTCTCTCCATCTCAGAGCAGCTCGAGTCACTCAATTTTGGTGAAAGCAGTCAGTGTTGCAGTGATGAGTCATGGTTTGAGTGCTGCAGATAGCTGGGTGCAACATGCATCCATCCTGCTCTGCTTGGACAGGACCTTCTTAAAAGGGGTCCCTGGGACTCCCTTGTGTGAGGAGGGGTCTCCACTGCTTCCTCATCATGGTTGAGGCTGGCTCCATCTGCAGAGGACCTCATACCCTGACAGAGGCTGTCCTTTGATGTCCACACAACCCACAGACCGAGCAGCAGCGTCTGTGGTGCCATGCTGAATTGTTCACCAGTGCTCCACTGCTCCCCATCGCTCCCAATCGCTTCCCACTGCTCCCCATCACTTTCCACTGCTTCCCATTGCTCCCCACTGCTGGATTGCTATTGCTGCAGTGAATCTGATCAGTTCACCTTTCTGTTAGACCCTCTTTGGGTGATAAAGGCTCCTCTTATGAGTGGTGGCCGTAATCTGCATTTGCAAGGCTCATTTTTTTCATATTTCACAAGATAATTATTAGTCTTTATTTTAAAGACTTTCTGAGATACTTCTTAGTGATGTTTGTCTTTCTCTTACTTTTTCCTGGCACTGAACATGCAGTAATATCTACCTTATTCTCAGCATTGTCTGCCAGAAATGAAGTTTTAGTTTGTTTTATTCCTTACCTGCAATTGCTGCAATGAATATGCCAAGACTTTGCTAATTTGCACTAATTACTGTGTATTACCTATTATGAGTTACCTGGTTTTGCAAGTTTATCAGACAAATGAAGCATGCCAAATAGAGATCAGTCATAGAGAGCTGATTCTGATACTCAAATTTAGCTCAGTGTACACTGGTTTTTATCATTCTCCAAATTATTTCTTGGCAGGCAATTTTTCATGAAGACATTGTGGTATATTGTGTAATATTCCAGTATCTGTGATACCAAACAGTATCTTCATTTCCAGAAGGTCCAGGGGAAGGGGTATTGAGTTCAAGTCAGTGTTCCTGACTTTGAAAACCCCACCTCATTAGGGCTGTTCCTGAAAATAGTTGAAACATTTTCTTGAATTTTCAAAACAAATGAGGTTTGTGTGTCTGATATGCAAATTGCATCCTGGGAGGTTGAAGATTAACGAAGTTATAAGCAAGAGAAAGCAGGATTTTATGAAAGAAGACGTTTGTTCTGATTACAGATGTAAGGTTACCCAATATGGTAGACCAAAGGATTTCTTGTTGCATAAAGATTGCTGTGCTCATTTTTCTTTTCTGTATTTAAAAAATATATTTGTTTTGTAGACTGTGATCATATTAATTTGTGTTATAAATGTACTTGGGAAGAAAGGCTGGCTTGCAAAATAATTATTTTTTTCTCACAGCTGGGTTAGAGATGAAAATTCAGTCACTTTTTCCTTTTGCTGTACGAGGAATTCTCATTGCGATTTGTGATTACCTTTTAAAAGCGCGTACATTCATTTAAATAGAATGGGGGATGTGTATGTTGCGTAGCCTGCAGTTTCCAATAGGAAGAATAACTTATTTTAAGCTGTGCTTCCACTGCCAATGTAATTTGGCGTCTACCTTGGTTATGGAAAAGGGGATTTTTAGTACATGAAGTTAGAGCAGAGCTGGATCTGTTAAAACATAACCCATCGCTACTCTTCGTTTTCAGTTTTGTATTGGCGTAAAGGAAGAATTGGAAAGGAGGAGGTAGAGAAGGAGAGAAATAGCATTGTCCCAGCTGCAGTGGCACTGATTTATGCCATACCGAGCTGATTGTGGAACTGTAATGCTATTTTCAGAATGAATTGTTTTGCTTTATTTGATACCTTCCTCAGCTCAATTATGGCATCAGAAAACGGGCAGTTCTTCCAGTTATTCTTGCTGAAATAGTGTGCCATTATTGATACACAGAGGAGAAAATGACTGCTATTTACCTTAGATTGCTTCAGCACGTTTGTGGTGCTTTATTTGTAAATATATTATTTCCGGTCACTTGCTTTGTATCAGATGAATTATTGAATGGAGTTTGTACAGGTTCAACATAGAAACAATAATTTCCTGTGTTTTCTCTTTTAGCCTTCTGTTGAGTCTTCAAGCCCAGGTAAATATTTCTAATATTTCCTAAACTTGAGAGGGAAGAGGGCACCCTTGAAAAACTATTTGTGCTGGTCTTTTCCAGTGAGTAAACCAGGGATATAGTTTGCCGAATAGGTTGGTGGCTGTACTGGTCACCTCTTTCTTCCAGTCTGTACCAGTGCAAGTTTCTACATGGTAAAATACACTGGGGAAATGCGATTTTTGCCTTTGCAGAAGCTGCGTGAGCACCTTGTGCTCTCAATTAATAGCTATACCTTTGCTGTATGGTTTTATGCATAAGAGCATCAAGAACAAAAGCAGCAAGAAAAGTGGTATTTTTTACCTCATTGGATTACTAAAAATGAGGGGTTTCATGACTTCTGTTTTTAAAGCTGATTATTTTTTGCCATTCCAGTATCCCAGAGCTACTGGCTACATAGTAGTCAGCCTAAGATTATTAATATCTGAGGGTTTTTGTTCACTTTGGGACCACTGTACTTGGTGTTATTTATTTCCAAGGCTTTTGGCCTCCTGCTAGAGGAAAAGCTTTCCAGTACATACTTTAGCTGTCATCTCCAGAGCTCTGATTTCTTTCAGAGAAATAATCAATTGCTTTAACACTTCAAAATGCAAAGTATATTAACCCTTAGAGTGAGCCCTTGCACCCTTAGTCTGGCTACACCCTTCAAGCTTTGGTAAATTAAATTTAAATCGTCCAGAGAAACAAGTGGAAAAACGTTGTGAGAATTAGAGATCAGGTATTGCTGAATTACAGAAAAATGCTGCATCTGCCAAACCATTCATCCATTCATTTCTTTTTCGTTGTCATAAAATACTTATTTACAAAGAACTGTGAAAAAACTGCGTGGGGAAAAATAACTAAGGATTCTGCATCGTGAATAAAAACTGCATAACTGCAAAGCTAACTTTGAGTTTAAATTTTGGGAAAGTCGTTAGACTGTCTTTGTAGTTGTAAACTGGAAAACCTGCAAAGTCTCAAGGAATCAACTGCCCTGGGTTTATGAGTGTTTCTGCTCCCACTCTTGATTCAGGCAGGTTTATAATTATTTAGGAATTAAGTCTTCAAAACAGGAACACTTTATAGACATTTAACTAGGGGCTCAATGTACAGATACACAGTATTTTGAGAACTGTTTATTTTCCATGATCTCTTACCCAAAGCACAGCTTTCCCTGTCTTGAATAGTGCAATTGGCTTTCCTGGAGATACATGATTGAGATATTTTGAAGATATTTTAATTTCTCAGTATAATTTGAGTATTAAAAGGTCACCAAACTAAAAAATTAACCTCTGCGAGGGCATGATCTAACTAAAAACATTCTTTAAAATGTTTCCTATCAGGAGGTTCAGCAACATCTGATGACCATGAATTTGATCCATCAGCTGATATGCTGGTGCATGACTTTGATGATGAACGGACATTAGAAGAGGAGGAAATGATGGAAGGAGAAACAAACTTCATTTCTGAAATAGAGGATCTTAACAGGGTAGGTAGCCTTAAGTAGTCATAAAACATAACCGCAGCCCGCAGTCTCGCACAAAACACACACAGGTTTTTTTCCCTTATGTTTGGAATTTAAAAAAACAAAACACCCCTACACCACTAATAGGTAAATAATATAGATGGGGGAAATGATTTGAGCTAAATTGGCAGTTCTTAAAAGTTGGGAAAAGGGAAACTGGTACATAAATACTTAATAATGTGTAACACTGTGCTTGTTTAGTTTCTTTTTACATACATGTGCTGTTAAAGGATTTGCATTTTAGAGATAATTTCAGTTAAAATTAATTTTTTTTTAAGTCCCATAATTTTACACTTTTGCATTTTTATACACACAATTGTATAATACTTTAGTGGAGTATCTTCATTTTTAAGACATAGGAAACGGAGATGCAGATGAAATGATTGGCTCAAAGCGAAGAGTTGTCAGCAGAGCTGGGATTAGAACTCACAATTATTGTTAATAATGTTAAATAAACCTTAAAATGTGTATCTTTGGAAATAACTGCATCTGAGATGTATTTGGCTATGCTGTCACTTATGTATTGTCTTAAATTACTTCTCAGGCAGGAATAATACTCTCAAATTACAAACTAGGTCATTATAAATGCAAAGTAATTTAGATACTGTCTGTGGCCTCGCTGGTTGAAAAGGCTTCTGGAACAGATCATTAATGATTCTCAGATGCATATTTGATGTACAAGTCCTATTTAGTATAAGTGATTATGCCAATATGACTTTAAATTAATTAAAAATACATTTTGGGTGTAAATGATAATTTCTTTCTGCTAATTTCAGGTTTGATATTAAACGGTAAACATAAAGATAAATAAATAGTTTGTGAATCTAAATAAGCTTCATCTAGATTAAATGAGAAATGGAGCTCCATGTGTATGCCATGTGGTTTTTAAGTTGAAAATATGTGTTTCCCCCCTCATATTTTGTGAAGAGTCACCATCTGGTTGTGTAATTCTGTCACCACATCACAGCGCTTCGTTTGTACCTGTATTTCAGCCATCAGTTTGTCCCCTCACACCTTGGTTGTTGGGGCTGCAAGTTTCTAATTTCATATTTGGCTCCCATCGCTCCGTACGTGCCCTTCTCTGCAGGATGCTCCTACAGAGCGGTGGAGAACCTTGCAGTCACTTTGCAGGTGTCGCAGGTAGGGACTTGAATTTCCAATGCTCCCACACCAGCAGGACCTTGCTGCAGACCTGCGGTTACTTCATTGTGGAATTGCAGGCTGCACATCAAAGCTTACTTTAATCTCTCTTTTTTTAGTCATAGATGATAGGCAATGTAAATCTCAGTGCTATTGTCAAGACAAGCATCTTGTCAATCCTGTCTTTTCCTTTCCCATATTTACATGTATTATTTCAGAATTCCCCCAGGATGTGAATGTGCCTGGTTTCCTCCTTCAGCTCCTTCAGAGACGAGGTGGCAGTCAGGCTTTGCAATGGCATTTTTTGAACCTTAATGGTTTCACTCCTGTCACCAAAATGACACCTTCCTCTGAGGGCAAGGATCTTTTCTCTTCATGGGTTGAGACCGGTGAATCTGCAATGCATTAGTGCTCGAGGTTGAGCAACATCCTCCATTTGTGTGGGAAAATGGATTTTTGCCTAAACGGCAGCAGCGTACCTGTGTCTGGGGACCTGGAGTCGCCCTCTGTGCCGCTCCAGGGTAGGAAAAAACCCAGTTCCTGAAGGAAATTGGGAATACTGGATTTGGTGGATATTTTTCAGTGATATTTCTTGAAAATTGAGAGCTTTTCCTGGGCAGGGATGGAACAGCAAACTGTCCTTGTGACAGTCCTGTCCAGTGGCACTGGTCGGTGCTGGCTTCCGCAGGAAGTGGAAAGCATTGCCAGGGTGCTCTCTGTGTCCTCCCTGCATTACTCACAGCTTTTTAAGCTTTTATTGCCTTTTTGCATTTATTTTCCATATAATCACTTGGTTCCTCCTATTGGAGTCCCCCTTTTCAAAGGGAAGGCTCTGGGGTTTTCTTAGGGTTCTGCACCAGCATCTTTTGTCCTTAAATGAGAGCCATACATGAAGCATGCAGCGTTTCTCCCAAAAAACTTCCAGCCCCTAGCAGCGTGCAGCTCAGGCACGTACAAAAAGCTCTTGTCTCTTCATCTGTAACACCTGTCCATCTTATTTGTCCGTTTTAGTTTTAACCTTTTAAACGTAGCGTCCATGAGACCTGTGGCAATGTTGTGCAGTTTTTTTAACGTGAGAAAAAATTGGGTTTTTCATCCCTATCCTATGTCCATTTCAGTGGTTGCCCCTGAGCTCTTCAATTAGCAGAGTATAAAGTCATTTATTATTTACCTCTCTGCGCTGCTTATGATACGGTTCTGTTATATCACTACCTCTGCTCCAGATGTGAGAGTTATAATTAATTTCTTGTTATTAAATATCTTCCACATAAGAAATCTCTGTGTCTTTGATCAGACTTGTTACTTTTGAAATCTTTCCTCTTTTGGCAATATCCTGAAACAATACAGAAAACATTATTTATATTTTATTGTGGAGAGTTGCTGGGCCTTGGATTTTTTTTTTTTAATTGTAATGGACTATTTGAAATTAAGAGGCTCTACCTAAGAAAAACATCGTAAATACAATACAACGTTGTAAATAACGTATAGTAATATACTTATTACATCGTTCACACACCTACAAATTGTAGTAAAAGTTCTTTTTACTTCTAAGTCAGTATCTACGAATTGTGAGGAGCACTTAATGAAAGTATATTACTTTCCAAAATGTACTGGAGAACATTTGTTTGGATAGTTATGAATAGGATTTTTCTGGTAGCTGTACTGTCAGGTTTTAATTAAGATCACAGTCCTTAGACCGTACATCCTAAGATGTACATTATATGTATTTAGAGGTGTCTGCTTGCTCTAAATAAGAAACACAGAGTTTGATCTTGTGAGAGAGAGGATTTTAAAATGCTCTCTGAAACCTTCTGCTCTGAAAGTTCTCACTAGGGATTACATGTACTGCCCCTGAAGGCTGGATACTGAGGTATTAAAAGTAATAAAGTAATTTGCAGGCCTAGCAATTAATAATTTTTATTAATAAGACAACTGCAACTGATAACAGTTTGGGAGCCACTAATCACAGAATCACAGAATCACAGAA